GCTGCGGGACGGGGGGGGGGGGTTAGGGCTGGGGGGGATAGAAACCCGGCTGCAGGGTAAGGCAGCGCTAAGCTGTCCCAGCCTTTTAGCGTCTTCTTTGTGTGGGAGATACTGGCAGGTCTGCAGCCGTGTTTATAAACGTCCCGGGCGCTCTCATTGCCGTTTAGTTTCTAGGTTGCTGAGTTCTGTGCATCAGCTGCGTTGGAAGCAATGTTCGGGTATCCCGGGCTGCCTAATGGGAGATGAAGACATGCACATCATGTCTCTGCATCTCTGTGAGAGATCAGTCTGTGTTTCTCCTCACGCTGGCAAGGTTTTCAGCTTTTAAATGTTTGCGTGAGGTGTAAAGCTGACCTTATAGAGTTCTTTGTGGATATTGTAGAAAAAAAGTATCTGTCTTCATCTCTAACTACTAACAAAGGGTCCGAAAAAGTGAGGCAATGGCTTTTTTATCTCGGCAGCAAGAGGGTTGTCATGCCAAAGTCCAGAGCCACTTCTAGTCCTAGTCAAATGAATGCAGTAAGAAACTGTTGGTACATGTAGTGGCAATTGTCAGAATCTGCTTAGCAGTTTAAGAAATAATTAGAGCTTCTAACTAATTTTGAAGTGAGCTGCATTGCAGAAAATTTCATATTAAGCTTTTTGATAAGAGATATGCTTGTCAATTAATATATTTCAGTAATAAAAAAATCTTTCATATGCTCCATGGAAGGATCATGAAGGATTCTGTGCATAATTAGGGTTGCAGTAGATAGTTAAAAACCTCAGAATCTGTAGTGCTGGAAATGCTATGCTTCCTTTTAGTGATAAATTGTGTCTTGGTATAGTATATGTACTTTCTAAAGGACACTGTTTTACCTCTATCGTGTAACTGCTTTGCCTCTTGTTGCTGTGTTATCTTTAAATACTTTTATTATTTCAGTTCTAAGGGAAGACTAGTTACAATGGACTCTGATTATACTGTTGGCTTTTTACTTTTGGGACAGTTTCTTAAAAATTAGGGTTAAAACTGCTGTTTCTCATGGAAGTTAAAAAAATTCTGAGGGTTTTTGACACGTGTCAGTGATCGTCTCACTGAAACAATTTAATATCCAAGTTGGTTTTATCTCTTGCCTTTTGTTTTTTGTTTGGTTTTGTGTTGTTGTTGTTTTTTTTTTTAATCAAATATGGCTCTAAGAGAGCTCTAAGTTTCTCCCTTTATGCTTCTAAAGAAGATGAGCTGGGTGTCTCTCACATCTCTGCATGTGACACAGACCTCCCCTTCACCAGAGAAGGAAAACTGATTTTGCTCCCTTTGAAGCTGTGTTAGAAAATTGTACTGCTGTAAAACTTTACGTGAGGTCAATTTCATTTGTTTATTTCCTCTCTTTTATTCATTTACTTCAATGTGGAATGTTGCAGTTTCTTTGGAAAACATTTATTAGGAAGCAACCAAGGCAAAAATGTGGTGTGTGTGTTCTTGTTAACTTGTGTTGCTTCTGCATTATTATTATTTTTTTTTGCAAAACTTGGTGTTTCTTTTCTTCTAAGACATACAGAAAACAATCTGGGTAGACTTACTCCTTTTACAGTGACGACCTTAAGCAGTACTGGTGTGAATTCAGTGCAGATGGTGTCTGCTAGTCCTGGTGGGGATTAGTGATGTTTTTCCCTGCAGCCTCAAAATTTGAGGAGGGAGCTGTTTCCTTGGTTTGATCCAGTGCATGTCCACAAAAACTTTTGTTGCAGTTGGAGTAAGCAAAGGAGGTGCTGTTACTTGTATCAGCAGTTGTGAGTTGGTGCTAATTTGAAATGGTCATTAGGCTGTGACACCAATTCCACAACAGCACTGTGCAGACAGCTGGCATTGCTATATATTCATGCAGGCTGTCTGGCAGCAAAGCAGGGCTCATTCCCACAGGAGGCCACTTGCACCCAGGAGAAAAGAGTGTGAGCAATTTAGTAATCCAACCAGGTATGATGGCTGTTAAAAACTGCAGGGAGAGTAATATATTTTATTATTAAAACTAGATGCTTAAAAGCACACACAGATAATGTCTTAATTTGTTTTCTGTACTCCCAAAAGTCTTCTGAGAAAATATTTTTCTCTGCCCCCTTTTTTTTTTGATTGAAATTTGTGTTTCTCTTTAAATTTTGGGGTAGAAAGGGAAAAGCAGGTTGAGTGTAGGTAGTCTTCTGAACAGCTTCTGAAAGCTTAAGGAATTTGGGAGTTGTTGAATGGGTAAATTACATACTTGTAAGTCAGACTGTATTTGAGACTCTCAAAACTTAAACTCCATATTTTTTTCCACCTATAATAGAACATTTTTATTGCTAGCATAGTTAGAAGTTGGAGAAGATACAAGGGAGAGTACAAAATGCACTGCATGCTGTTTGTTCTTCTGAGCCAGAAGATTGAATGTTTGTGTTTAATCCAAGAGAAACAGTCTACCAACCACTGCCACGTTTTCTTCTATTGGTAAACATCAGCTGCTGGTTGGTCTTGAGGGAGGAAGACTGAATTAGTTCCAGATGGAGAACTCTTTCAGCTCATTTAAGACTTTCCAGTTGATTTAAGGCAGCAGGTCAGTAATTTAGGGGGAATAGTTTTGTTCTTATTTGCTGCTCTGCTTCTTGCCATGTGTGGAACCAGTGAGATCAGATATCCCAGTGCTGCCGAGGGTGGAAGATTCATTGAGCTTAATTGCTTTTGTTTTTTTAATTGACTGGTATAAACAGAAAAGCTACTAACAAAGTTGTGATAACAAATAATTTTGAATGTAGAGGGTTGTTTGTGGTTTTTTTTTAAGACCTGAAAAAGGAGGGAGACTCAAGAATGTTTTTCTTAATTTCTCTTACAGAATGCATATCTTCTTTCAAAGCTTTGTGATAAACTGGTTAACACAAGTATCTAGTTTAGTGCAAGTTTTCCAAGGGTCTCGCACCTTGGTGTGCTGCTGGCATGATTTCCTGCTAACATGGAAAGAGATAAGGGGATAGGGATGGAAACCTGTACATGTCTGGAATAACAGAACTAGAGAACATGAGGAATGGAAAATTTCAGTGTAAAGCAGCTGTTTAGGGTATTGAAACAGACATGATAAGTTTAACTCTTTAGTACCTCTTTATGATTTATCTTGAGATGCTACATTGGACATTAAATAAACCATGAAGAAAACTGTGTATCCTGTTCCTGTTCACACCCTAACAAAACGGGGCAGGTGCAGCAGGTCTTACTACAGCTTTTGTATCTTTGCTTGCCATTGACTATTTCTTCTCCTGCCATTGTTTGAGGCATTGTAGTATTATTATGTCATTTTAGACAGCTTTTTCTAGGTGTTTGGTGACTATCTTCCCCCACAAGTATTACTTTTTAACTATATACAGTCTGCCATCTTGTCTATCCAGCAAATGTGCTCTGGATAAAAGTATTTCAAATGCAGTTTCCCCAGGTGTTTGTTCACTGGGGAGCAAAAGAGGTCCTGTCATCCATTTCATTCTCATCTGTTTAGTCCTAATTATTTTTCACATAAAACACAGACTACAAAAGAGAGAGCAATAAAATTGATAATGTAGTTAATGTTGCACATTAACTGCTCAGGTACAATTTATTTTTTATTACAGACTTTAAGCCTGTTAGCATTGCTAACTAACATTATGTGACTTGAGAAGAATAAAGGTCACAGGGTGGTTTTTGTTATTCTCTGTACTCTTCTAGTGAAACTTGCCCTAGTTGCAAATGTTTTGATGTCTTTTCCTGTCATCTTTTAAAGAAACTTTAAGAATTATTTCAAGTATTAATATTGAATTGCAAGTTCTAATGGTGCTGCATGGCACAATAAGTAATGATGCACTATTTGCAAGTCTTTAAACAGAGAACAAGTCTGTTTGGAAAGCTCTTGCACGTATTTTCCTACTTAGTTCACCTAGACCTCATTTATCAGAATAATTGTTTATGATTCCTGGAATTTGTAGTCCTTAATTATTGATTGATTGCTTGCTTGAACTCAGGTTGATAACAGGTTAATTAGAGAGAAGGGCACAGGTTCCTGCCCAGATTTTCTTGGTTGTGAAGATTTTTCTGTTGAGTGATTATAGAAATACCTTAGACTGAGATCAGCAAAACTGTAGACTCTTGAAGAGGAGTTCATTATAAATGAAAAGGTTGTGTTGATGTGCTTTAGAGGAGGAGGTCTTTTGTCTGCATGCTATTTTAGAAGTAAAAAACCTCCCGTAGATAATTTCTTAGTGCTTAATCTTAGTGTCATGATACTACAAGTACAAAATCCAGTCAGAGAGACAAGCTGCAGAAGGCTGCTTATCTTTCATGAGGTGTCTTTGCTGCACTAGAGGTTTAAAATGTCATTATGTTCAGAGCTACATGCCTTTTTCCTCTCTTTTTTAGGCAGAGACAATGGAATAGACCACATGAAGAAACATGTGCAGTTTATTTTTATGCAAGATGTTCTTCAGAGGACCAAGTATGCTTTTTCAGGCCAGGGGAGATGAAGGACTAATCACGTGATATTTTTGTTTCGCTGAAGCGCTGCTCTGTGCTGAGTCCACGTTGGTTTGTGTCACAGACAAATATTCAATTCCTCATGTCAGCATGTCGACTGTGGGAAGTGCCCAGACACCTGAGGAACCTCATCCTCCCTCCGTTGAGGAGAAGCCAAAGGGAAAATCACTATTTCATTTGGGTTCACTCTTTGCTAACAGGACTGAAAAATTTGTCATTGCTCGCAGTGACAGCGTGCCAGAGGAGAACGTGCTGAAAATCACTATCACAGAGACCACGGTCATCGAGTCAGACCTGGGCATCTGGAACTCACATGCTCTCATCTACCTCACTTTGTGGTTTTTCTTCAGCTTTTGCACTCTTTTTCTGAACAAATACATTCTTTCTTTACTGGAAGGAGAGCCCAGCATGCTAGGTAACCCTGCCTTTCTTTTACACTTAAATTCCAGTAAGATGTTTGACAACACCAGATCCTCCTATATGAAACAGAGGGATGAAATAATTCAACTGAAGTGAAAAAGACCTAGTTAGGAGCTTTGGGGGTGGATCTTGGGGCTGAGAACTTGTGACTTGTGATCTTGGTCTGTAAAGGGCTTCTGACATGGTCCTTTCCTTCACTCCCTCAAAGATGGTATGAAACTTTGCTCACAGAGGAGCTG